CTCGTGCGCTTTATCAAAAGGCTGCTGCAATTGGTCTATTGGGTTTAGGCTTTGATGATGAGCATGGGGGAATCTCAGATGCAGATGCATTTCATGTGTTCTTAGCCGCAGTTGAAACAGCCAAAGCTGGCTCTGGTGGCGTACATATTTCTTTGATGATTCATACCATTGGTACACCACCAATTCATCATTTTGCTCAGCCACATATTCGTGACAAGGTGATGCCACAAATTATTTCAGGCGAAAAAATTTCTGCACTTGCGATTACCGAACCAAGCGGCGGTTCTGACGTTGCTGCATTACAAACCAAAGCAATCCGTGAAGGTGATTTTTATCTGGTGAGTGGTGAAAAAACCTTTATTACTTCAGGTATGCGCGCAGATTATTATACGGTAGCGGTGAGAACCGATCCTGAAAATAAAGGTGCGAGTGGTATTTCGATGTTATTGGTCGATGCACACAGTGATGGCATCACTAAATCACCTTTAAAGAAAATGGGTTGGTGGGCATCAGATACTGCTCATTTGCATTTTGACCAAGTGAAAGTTCCTGTAGAAAATCTTCTTGGTGAAGAAAATGCAGGCTTTAAGGTCATTATGAAAAACTTCAATATGGAACGCTTTTGGTTGGCCTCTATGGCCTATGGTTATGCCTTGGTCTGTTATCAAGAGGCTTTAGAGTGGTCTAAAGCGCGGAAGACTTTTGGAAAACGCTTAGTTGATCATCAAGTGGTACGTCATAAGTTGGTTGATATGGCGACGCGTTTAACCACAACTCGGGCATTATTGGAGGATACTGCTTATCGTATGGGGCAGGCTGAATTACAGGGCAGTGATTTAATTGCACAAATTTGTATGTCAAAAAATATCGCAACCCAAACCATGCAGTTCTGTGCAGATGCAGCAGTGCAAACTCTAGGTGGCATGGGCTTTATGCGAGGGACTAAATCCGAACGTATTTATCGTGAGGTCAAAGTAAATATGATTGGTGGTGGTGCTGAAGAAATCATGAAAGATTTGATTAGTAAGCAGTTGGGGTTTTGATCACTCATTTGGGAATAATAAAAACTTACAATGCTGGTTTCTGCTAAAAATAACCATAGGTGCGCTAGAGGCCTAGGGTTATTGTCAATTTAAGGAGTCTTTATCTGAAATATGAGGCTTGCGAAGATAAACTGTGCTCATTTCAAAGCCATTTCCAAAACGATTTCAGTCAGTTCATCTAAGCTCATTTTACCATTGGGATTATACCAAGTGACGGTCCAAGCAATCGCACCGCCCAACAAACGGCGCCAAATAAAAGCATCATGCTGAATTTTGCCGAGGTCGCGTAATTTCTCAATCACATCGAACCAGATATCCTCATAATCATTTCGCAGTTTAAGAAGTTCATCTTGCCGTTGTTTTGACAACGCAAACCATTCATAAACTAAAACAGCCATGGCTGAACCGGTATCTCCAGTAATCGAAATTAACTCAGCTTTGATCAAGTGTTTTAACTGTTGTTCAGCATCATCCGATTTTTGGATTGCATCAAGCATACGGGCATGATTGTAAATAATGGTTTCATGCATGACATTGGCAAGAATATCATCCTTGCTTTTAAAATGATGAAACAAGCTACCCGATTGAATTCCAATGAAATTTGCTAACTCACGAACTGTAGTTTTGGCATAACCTTGCTTATGAAATAAATAAGCAGCACCAAGTAATAAACGACCTTTAGGGCTGTCATCAAAACATGCGATTGGTTGGATATCATCGATTGAGTGAGCAATCATCGGATCATTTTTTCCATAAAGTTAAGCAAATTATTCATTGTTTAAAACGTGTTTTAGCACATTTGCCAATTCAGGATAACATTTTGCCCTTTACAAACCAAGCGCTTGCTTGGTAGATTGGCGTATAAATTTTATTCAGAACAATGAAAACAAGATAGGTGTGAAAATGGAAGATCAACGTATTGTGAAAATTGGATGTGCTTCAGGTTTCTGGGGGGACACCAATACCGCAGCATTTCAGTTGGTACATTTGTCTGACATCAATTATTTGGTTTTTGATTACCTTTCAGAAATCACCATGTCTATCATGGCAAAAGCGATGATGACCAATCCAGAACATGGTTATGCTTTGGATTTTGTCAGTCGGGTGATGACACCGCTGCTTAAAAAAATCAGTGATAAAAAAATAAAAGTGATTAGCAATGCTGGTGGTGTTAATCCATTGGCATGTCGTGATGCCTTGCAGAAAGTGCTTGAAGCACAAGGATTGGATTTAAAAATTGCAGTGGTATTGGGGGATGACCTAATGCCACAACAAGCCGAATTAAACACACAAAATATTAAAGAGATGTTTAGTGGCGAAGATTTGCCTAGCCAATTAGCCAGTTGTAACGCATATCTAGGAGCTGTTCCAATTCGAGACGCACTTGATCAAGGTGCAGATATTGTCATCACTGGGCGAGTGGTGGATTCAGCTGTGGTGCTTGCACCTTTGTTGCATGAATATCAATGGTCCTTAGAGGATTATGACAAGCTGTCCCAAGGTTCTTTAGCAGGGCATATCATTGAGTGTGGTGCACAATGTACAGGTGGCAATTTCACGGATTGGCGCTTAGTACAAGGCTTTGACAATATGGGGTTTCCAATTGTTGAAGTGAAAGCAGATGCATCATTTATCGTGACTAAACCAAAAGGAACTGGTGGACTGGTTTCGGTTGCAACTGTTGCTGAACAAGTTGTCTATGAAATTGGTAATCCACAAGCGTATTTATTGCCCGATGTTACTGCAGATTTTAGCAAAGTGAAATTAGAACAGGTGGGTGAAGATCGAGTTTTAGTGATTGGCGCAAAAGGTAGAGCACCGACACAACAATATAAAGTCAGTGCAACCTATCCCGATGGTTATCGTGTTTTGGTGAGTTTCCTGATAGCAGGACGCGAAGCCCCTGAAAAAGCCCAAGTAATTGCAGATGCAATATTAACTAAGTGTGAGCGTGTTTTAGCATTACGTTCAGTCCCGCCATTCTTAGAAAAATCAGTTGAAATATTGGGTATTGAAAGTACCTATGGTGCAAATGCACAGCCAATCAATAGCCGTGAAGTGGTTGTCAAAATTGCTGTAAAGCACATGTTTAAAGAAGCATGTATGTTCTTTGCTTCTGAAATTGCCCAAGCATCTACCGGAATGGCACCTGCATTGGCTGGAATTGTTGGGGGGCGTCCCAAAGCTTCTCCTGTGATTAAGTTGTTCTCGTTTTTAGTGGATAAATCAAAACTAAGTGTTGCGATCGACATCAATGGTCAGCGTCAAAATATACAGATTCCATCAGGTTGCTCAGATCAATCTTTTGATGTTGTTGCAGTGGGTGAGGTTGCTCAATTTACGGGTCAGGAGATTGAAGTTCCTTTAGTTGAAATTGCCCATGCTCGGAGTGGCGATAAAGGCAATCATAGCAATATTGGAGTGATCGCACGTCAGCCTGAATATCTACCCTGGATTCGCGCCAATTTGACTGAGGAAAAGGTCAAAGAATATATGCAGCATGTTTTAGACCCTGAAAAGTCTAAAGTGATTCGTTATGAAATCACAGGGTTTAATGCCTTAAATTTTATGCTGGAAAATGCCTTAGGTGGTGGAGGAATTGCCAGTTTACGTATTGATCCACAAGGTAAAGCTTTTGCTCAGCAGCTTTTAGATATGCCAGTCAAAATCCCAGCGAGTTTAAAGTCCTTCTAATCCTTGTTTATGAACGTGGGGTGAATTCCTCGCTTTTTAAAAGGGAGCTTGGAGCGGGATTTAAGCAAGTTAAAAGACAACAATTTGGATATAAAAATGCATTATCACTCAATATTTAGATCGGATGCTTTTCAGGACCAAGTCATCATTGTGACCGGTGGTGGTTCGGGTATAGGACGCTGTACTGCTCATGAACTGGCTGCTTTAGGGGCTCAAGTGGTGATTACAGGGCGAAAAATTGAAAAGCTGGAAAATGTCAGCAAAGAAATCATCGAAGATGGTGGCAAAGTTCATTTTATCGTTTGTGATAATCGCGAAGAACACAACGTGAAAGAGATGATTGCTGAAGTGATTGAAAAATTTGGCAGACTTGATGGGCTTGTTAATAACGCTGGCGGTCAGTTTCCCTCAAATTTAGAAGGCATTTCTGCCAACGGTTTTGATGCTGTGGTACGCAACAATCTGCATTCAACTTTCTACTTAATGAAAGAAGCCTATAACCAGTGGATGGCAAAACATGGTGGCAGTATTGTCAATATGGCAGCCGATATGTGGGGTGGCATGCCGGGGATGGGACACTCTGGTGCAGCCCGTGCTGGGGTAGATAATTTAACCAAAACAGCAGCGGTGGAATGGGGACGTTCTGGGGTACGTGTTAACTGTGTTGCACCTGGTTGGGTTGTTTCTTCAGGAATGGATAATTATACCGGTGATTTTGCCAAATTTATTATTCCAAGTTTGGCTGGGAATGTACCACTGAAACGAATGGGCACCGAATCTGAAATTTCTTCTGCTATTTGTTATTTACTTTCAGAAGCAGCAGGTTTTATTTCTGGCATGACGATTCGTATTGATGGCGCTGCATCCTTAGGCACTCGAATGTATCCATTGGCAGATGCTTCGAATAGCGAGTCGTTTAATGGCTTCCATCGTGCCTTTATTCCAGATGTATTAAAACAACAATTGAGTGATCAAACCAATAACCAACAGACAGGAGAAAATTCATGACTGTTCTCCAATCCGAAATTGCAGTTGGTAGTGAGCAATTTGAACAGAACAAGCAGGCATTACTTGCTCAAATTGCCGAAGTGCGTGCAGTACAAAATAAGAATATTGAAAAATCTTATGCAGCCAAACCCAAATTTGACAAGAAAGGTAAAATTTTACCGCATGAACGTGTCCGTTTAGCTCTTGATGCTGATTCACCATTTGTAGAACTGTGTGGCTTGGTGGGTTATGCCATGCATGATGATAAAGATGGTTCAGATGCAGGTGGTGGGATTATTTCAGGGATCGGTTTTGTCAGCGGTGTTCGTTGTCTGATTTCAGCAAGTAACAGTGCAATCAAAGGCGGAACAATGTCACCGATGGGGGTACAAAAAACCTTACGTTTGCAGGCGATTGCTTTTGAACAAAAATTACCGATGCTGACTCTCACTGAAAGTGGGGGTGCCAACTTAAATTACGCTGCTGAAGTGTTTACTTATGGTGGAATGACCTTTGCCAATCAGGCACGGCTGTCTGCCGCAGGTTTACCCCAAGTCTCCGTGGTACATGGCAATGCAACAGCGGGTGGAGCGTATCAACCGGGTTTATCTGATTATGTGATTGCAGTTCGTAAGCAAACTGAGATGTTACTCGCAGGGCCACCTTTACTTTTGGCGGCAACCGGAGAAGTGGCAACAGCAGAGGAACTCGGTGGTGCAGAGATGCATGCACAGGTTGCTGGAACAGCAGAATTTTTAGCCGAGAATGATGCCGATGGAATTCGTATTGCTCGTGAGGTTTTTGAGCATCTTAACTGGAAAGAGCAAACTCAAAAGTTAAACTTAAGCTATAAAGAGCCACGTTATCCTGCCGAGGAGCTCTTAGGGATCATTCCTGCAAGTCCGAAGCAGCCTTTTGACATGAAAGATGTGATTGCACGAATTGTTGATGACTCTGAATTCTTTGAAGTAAAACAAGAATATGATGCATTGACCGTGTGTGGCTGGGCAAAAATTGGTGGATTACATATCGGAATTATCACCAACAATGGACCGATTACCCCACAAGGCGCCACCAAAGCTGCACAGTTCATTCACCTCTGTGAACAGACCAAACGTCCATTACTGTTTTTACATAACACCACAGGCTTTATGGTCGGAACTGATGCTGAACAGAACGGCATTATTAAGCATGGTTCGAAATTGATTCAGGCCGTTGCCAATACCACTGTACCGAAAATTTCTATCGTTGTGGCAGGTTCCTATGGCGCGGGCAATTACGCGATGTGTGGACGTCCATTATCACCGCAATTTATTTTTGCATGGCCAAACTCGCATGTAGCGGTGATGGGTTCAGCTCAGGCTGGCAAGGTATTACGTATCGTAGCGGAAGGAAAGCAAAAAGCTTCAGGGATGGAGCCTAACGAGCAGATGCTAGATTTCTTAGAGCAAAGTACAGCAGCAAAATTAGAACAGCAGTCAACCGCCTTATTTAATACGGCCATGTTGCATGATGATGGAATTATCGACCCGCGTGATACACGCAAAGTCCTGATCTTCTTATTAGAAACAATTTATGAAGCAGAACATCGCAAACTAAATCCAATACGATTTGGTGTATCGAGGCTTTAAAAATCCTCGCCCTTTGCAAAGCTCATCATTCCTCATCTTTTAAAAGTGGGGTGTTCTCCGCTTTATTAAAGCGAGTTAAAGAAGATTAAATTTAAGGAAAAAAACAATGAAATTTACAACAGAGCATGAAGCACTACGCCGTACTACACGTCAGTTTGTTGAGACTGAACTCAATCCTTATATTCCGACATGGGAAGCTGAAGGGCGATTTCCTATTCATGATGTGTTTAAAAAACTGTCGGATTTAGGTTTGCTGGGGATTTGTAAGCCTGAAGAAAATGGCGGATTAGGTTTAGATTATTCTTATAACCTTGTGGTTGCAGAAGAATTAGGGCGAGCCGCCTGTGGTGGCGTACCTTTGGCGATTGGTGTGCAAACGGATATGGCAACGCCTGCTTTGGCTCGCTTTGGTAGTCAAGAATTACGGGATGAATTTTTAACACCTGCAATTGCGGGTGAATATGTCGCTTCGATTGCTGTATCGGAAGTACATGCAGGTTCAGACGTCGCAGCCATCAAAACCACCGCAAAAAAACAGGGTGATGATTATGTGATTAATGGCAGCAAAATGTGGATTACCAACTCCCTACAAGCTGACTTTTTTTGCTTATTGGCCAATACCTCTGATGATAAACCGCATGTCAATAAGTCCATGATTATTGTTCCTGCAAAATCTACAGGTATCTCCTTCTCTGAACCGCTTAATAAACTGGGAATGCGTTCAACCACAACAGCAGAAGTCTATTTTGACAATGTTCGTGTACCACAACGCTACTTGGTGGGTGCAGAAGGTATGGGCTTTATGATGCAAATGATGCAGTTCCAAGAAGAACGAATGTGGGCGGCTGCCAATGCAATTGGTGGTTTGGAAAATGTGATTCAACAAACCATTCAATATACCAAAGAACGAAGCACCTTTGGACAACCGCTGATTAACAACCAATATGTACATTTTCGTTTTGCGGAGTTGATGACTGAAGTAGAAGCTTTACGTGCCTTAACCTATCGTGCCTGTGAAATCCACATTGACGGTGGGAATGCAACAGAAATTGCCTCTATGGCAAAACTTAAAGCAGGTCGTTTGACGCGAGAAGTTGCAGACAGTTGCTTACAGTTCTGGGGTGGAAATGGTTTTATGTGGGATAACCCCGCTTCTCAGCTGTATCGTGATGGCCGTTTAGGTTCGATTGGTGGCGGTGCAGATGAAATTATGCTTGGAATTATTTGTAAGTTGATGGACATCCTTCCATCTAAACGTAAATAACAAGGAGAATAAATATGGCACTTTCGCAATCTCTAACAACACAACAGTTTGATCGCAGTATTGAGCTTGAGCAAGAAGGTAGCATTTTAACCCTATGGCTTAATCGACCTGAGAGTCGCAATGCCATGAGTTTGAATATGGTCAAAGCGATTCAACAGGTGTTTAAAACGATTCAAGATGATATCTCCATTCGTGCAGTCATTTTACGTGGCAAAGATGGACATTTTTGTGCAGGCGGTGACATTAAAGATATGGCCCAACTGCGTGGTGAGGCCACCAGTGTTGGTTCTAATCAGCCTTATGTTGATTTCAATCGTCAATTTGGACATATGCTGGAGCAAGTGGATCAAGCGCCACAAACCGTTGTTGCAGTTTTAGAAGGTGCAGTATTGGGTGGCGGTTTTGGTTTGGCCTGTGTTTCAGATATTGCAATCAGTCTTGCCGATGCCAAATTTGGTTTACCTGAAACAGGATTAGGGGTTATTCCCGCCCAGATTGCCCCATTTGTGGTAAAGCGAATTGGCTTAACTCAAGCGCGTCGTTTGGCTTTACTTGGTGCACGTTTTGAGGGGCATACCGCATTGAAGGTTGGTGTTGTACATGAAGTGGTTGAGAATGAAAAAGCACTGGAAGTTTTATTGATCGAAACCATTCAGCAGATTAAACGTACCGCTCCGCAAGCGTCTCGTGTGACTAAAGCTTTATTGCATCGTACTTTAAATGAAGCTTTGACGCCTTTATTGGATGATGCTGCGCAGCAATTTGCCAATGCTGTGGGTGGTGAAGAAGGTATAGAAGGGACAATGGCCTTTATCCAAAAGCGTCATCCAAATTGGTTTGATGCATAAGTCTGACAATGCGGATCACTGATCTTGATTGAGATCGGTGTGATTCAACCAAGATAATCAAGTGAATATAAAACCAAAAATAGGGAAAACGAGAATGGCATTTTCAAAAATATTGGTGGCGAATCGTGGTGAAATTGCTGTTCGCGTGATGAAAACAGCAAAAGCAATGGGCTATCAGACCGTGGCTGTCTATTCAGATGCAGATCGTCATGCGCGCCATGTACAGCTTGCAGATGAGGCTGTATATATTGGTGCTTCAAAAGTTTCAGCATCCTATTTATCTATTCAAAATATTATCGACGCATGTAAAAAAACGGGGGCTGATGCTGTTCATCCCGGTTATGGTTTCCTTTCTGAAAATACCGATTTTGCAGCAGCCTGTGAGAAAAATGGAATTACCTTTATTGGCCCACCTGCACCTGCAATTGAATTGATGGGCAGTAAACGTCTGTCAAAAATTGCCATGATTCAGGCGGGTGTACCATGTGTACCGGGTTATGAAGGTGATCAGCAAGATATAGAGTATTTAGAACAACAAGCCAATAAGATTGGTTATCCACTGATGGTCAAAGCTTCAGCAGGCGGTGGTGGGCGCGGTATGCGTCTGGTACAGCAATCTGCCGATATTGTTGAAGCCTTAAAAACAGCGCGCTCTGAAGCAGAAAATGCTTTTGGTTCAGGTGAGCTGATTCTTGAAAAAGCTGTGATTGCTCCACGCCATGTTGAGATACAGGTATTTGGCGATACCCACGGCAATTATGTGTATTTATTTGAGCGTGATTGTTCGATTCAGCGTCGTCATCAAAAAGTGGTTGAGGAAGCTCCATGTCCAGTGATGACCGAAAGCTTACGCCAACAAATGGGTGAGGCTGCTGTTGCAGCAGCGAAATCATGTGATTATGTCGGTGCAGGAACGGTTGAGTTTCTATTGGATCAATCAGGTGAGTTTTATTTCCTCGAAATGAATACACGTTTGCAAGTCGAGCATCCAGTAACAGAGCTGATCACGGGTTTAGATCTGGTGGAATGGCAACTGCGTGTGGCCAATGGTGAAACCTTGCCCTTACAACAATCTGAATTGACCTTATCAGGGCATGCGATAGAAGTTCGCTTATATGCAGAAGACCCACGTCAAGACTTCTTGCCACAGACTGGTCAAATACAGCGCTGGCAAGCTGCTGATTTACCCAATGTTCGAATTGATCATGGTTTGTTGCAACAGGATGAAATTAGTCCGTTTTACGACCCAATGGTGGCAAAAGTCATTGCATATGGTCAAACCCGTCAGGATGCCATTCGGCTCTTGGCGCGTGCTGTAGATGATTGTGTATTGTTGGGGGTAAATAGTAATAAGCAGTTTTTAGTGAATTTACTTAGACACCCTATTATTGTCAAAGGCGACACCAATACCGCCTTTATTCAAGAGCACTTCCAAACAGATGCCAGCTTACATAAACAAGCTTTGGGCTTAGAACACCTAGCTGTTGCTGCGGCACTGTTGACCAATGCTTCTAGTCAAAGCAGTTGGAATACCGGAATTGCGTTATCTTTACCTTTAAAACTCAAGCATGATGATCAGTTATTACAGCTTTTGGTGAAACGTGATCAAAACCAAGTGAGCGTTGAAATTTGTGGGCAGACACTTGGGATCAGCATTATTGGACAGCAAGCAGAAAAATTCATTTATGAGGTGGATGGTGTACGCCGTTCGATTGACTATGTCTTAGATGGAAATCAGCTGTATTTAGATGCGGTAAATGGCAATATCAGCATTGAAAATACCACCTATGCAGCACCTGAAACTTCCGATGTCGCAGGCGATGGTAACATTCGTGCACCAATGGATGGTGCGATTATCAATATCTTGGTAAATGCCGGTGATACGGTGACTAAAGGTCAAACTTTGTTGATTTTAGAAGCGATGAAGATTCAGCAACAGATTAAGTCTGATGTGGACGGTGTCGTGAATGAGATTGTTGGGCAAGTTGGACAACAGGTAAAGAAACGTCAGTTGGTATTGAATATTCAGGCTTGATTGATAGGATTAAACGTATTGTATAGGGACTTAAAAACTTCAATATTCTTGTGTATTGGAGTTTTTTTGATTGCTGAAAATAATAAAGCATGTACATGCTTGACAGCTTTTTAGTCTATTGTTATTTTTCGGCAATTCTTCTCAATATGCGATCCACATGCCGATTGATGATGGCTTTGTTTATCAGCCTCCTTTAGATCCACTTGACATTATTTTTGAAGATAATGACTTTGTTGCCATCAATAAACCCGCAGGGTTACTTTCAGTTCCGGGGCGTTTGCCTGAACATCACGACAGCGCTTATTTTCGAGTATTGGCAATATATCCAAATGCCAAGATTACCCATCGTTTGGATATGGCAACCTCGGGAATTCTGTTGTTCGCCAAACATCGCGATGCAGAAGTTGCTGCAAGTAAAATGTTTCAGGCGAGAACTGTTAAAAAAAATTATATTGCTTTAGTGCAAGGGCAAATCAATAGCAATGGTCGTGTGGATGTGCCTTTGATTACCGATTGGGAAAATCGTCCACGCCAGATTGTGCATTTTGAGTTAGGCAAACCCGCACAAACTTTATTTGAATCTGTAAGCTATGATGCTGAAAAGGATGTAAGTCGGGTGCTACTTACACCGATTACAGGACGTTCTCATCAATTACGGGTGCATATGCAATATATCGGGCATCCGATTATGCGCGATAAGCTTTATCATCCTACGCCGTTTAACACCGATTTAGCGCGTATGGCATTGCATGCAAGCTATTTGTCTTTTATGCAGCCTTTTAATAATTTACTGGTTGAGATTGTATCTGAGCCTGAATTTTAGCATTTGGCTAAATCAAAAAAGCCTGCAAAATTGCAGGCTTTGATCATTGAGAGGGGGATTAAACTTGGTTGTTAACATCATCATGTTTTGTTTCACGAATGGCCAAGAATGCCAACAGTGAAAGAATGGATGCTGCTGTCAAGTAGTAACCCACCGCTTGTAAGCCATATTTGGTTGCAAGTTCAGTTGCGATCAGAGGTGCAAAAGATGCGCCCAAAATACCTGCCAAGTTAAAGGTTAATGCAGAGCCTGTATAACGTACAGAAATCGGGAAAATTTCAGACAAGACCGTACCAATTGGACCGTATGTCATTCCCATCAATGCTAAACCTACACATAAGAACAAGAACACAATCACTGTGCTACCTGACTCAAGCATACTGGCAAATACTAAACCAAAAAGTGCAGAGGCAATACATACCCCAATAGAGGTTGCTTTACGCCCAAACTTCTCAGCAAATACAGCAGAAAGCGGAATAAAAGCAGCAAAGCACAGTGTTGCGACCAGTTGCATCTCTAAGAATTCTGCACGTGAGTAACCCAGTTGTTTGGTTCCCCAGTTGAGTGCAAATACTGTTGTGAGATAGAACACCACGAATGTACATACCGCAGCAATTGTGCCGAGGAAGAGCATTTTATAATGTTTGGTCACAACTTCTTTAAATGGAATATTAACTTCTTTTTGTTTGTCTAATACTTTTTGGAACGCTGGGGTTTCATGCAATTTTAAGCGAATATATAAACCCACAATCACCAATGCAGCACTTGCAAGGAATGGGATACGCCAGCCCCATTGCATAAAGTCTGCTTCAGACATCAATGCGCCAAGACCAAGGAATGAACCCGTTGCCAAGATAAAACCGATCGGTGCGCCCAGTTGCGGGAACATTCCATACCAAGCACGTTTGCCTTCAGGCGCATTTTCAGTTGCAAGTAGGACGGCACCAGACCATTCACCACCAAGACCTAAGCCTTGACCTAAACGACAAAGTGCAAGTAATAGCGGTGCAACGATACCAATCTGTGCATAGGTTGGAAGTAGACCAATACATACTGTTGAAACACCCATGGTCAATAAAGCCGCGACTAGGGTTGCTTTACGACCAATACGATCACCTAAGTGACCAAAGATTGCTGCGCCAATAGGGCGGGCAATAAATGCGATGGCAAATGTTGCGAGTGATTGAATTGTTGCCGTCATCGGATCTGTACTTGCTGGGAAGAACAGATGCGGAAAAATAAGGACTGCAGCAGTTGCATAGATATAAAAATCGAAGAATTCGATTGTTGTACCCACAAGACTTGCGAAAAGAACGCGAGCCTTTGAATTTGTTTGAATTTCTGGAGTAGCAGTAGATAATGACGCCATGGTGAACCTTACACTTTTAAAAGTAAAACGAGTCTTTAAAGCGTAATCTTTTTAAAAAAGGCGTAATTTCTTAAAAAAACAACGAGATCAACCCAAATTCACTCCATCAGGGTCACTGAATTTTGAGTGTCTATGAATTAAATGACGTAAAGATAGATTGCAAGGAAATGTGATCCTGCACCGACCAAAACAAATATATGCCAAATAGCATGAGTGTATCTTACTCTTTTTAAGGCATAAAACAATGCGCCTATTGTATATGCTAAACCACCAATGACCAATAATTTTAATGCTTCTGGTTTTAAATACTGTTGCATATCATCCATTACAAGCACAGCAAGCCAACCCATGACCAAATAAGCAATCAGTGAAATTTTTTCAAAACGATGAATGAATATTAACTTGAATAGTGTTCCAATGGCTGCGATGACCCAAAGTGCAATCAATAAATAATGTGCTTTTGTTGTTGGGATGGCAATTGCCAAAAAGGGCGTATAGGTTCCCGCAATTAAATAATAAATCGCAGTATGATCCAGCTTTTTATACCATTGGCGTTTTTTTTCATCGACAGAAAAATGATAAATTGCTGAACTGGAAAACAGTAAAATCATGCTTAGACCATAGACAAGCAATCCAAAAAATTGCCATCCATGCAGATAGTTGCCTTTAATCAGCATCAAAACAGTCGCTATAGCAGCCAAAATTGCACCGAATGCATGACTCAACGCATTAATACGTTCTTCTTGTGGTGCATAGATGTGAATCAATTTATCTGTCGACATTGGATCTTATTATCCTAAAAATACAACTGTATAGTAATGGAGTTTTACCTTTAAAGTAAGACGTCTTAAAATAGGTAACTTAATTAATACGAGTTTTGATTATGTCCAATGTGGCAAGCTTATCTGTTCAGGAACAACAATTTTTTGATAGCGTACAGCAAGCTATTGATAATCAAAGCTTAGATCGTTTGATTTTAAGTCAGTATAAAGGAGAATTGGTTGATTTAGAGAAAATGACCTTTCGCGTCATTCAGCTACAGAATGAAACGGTTCTAAGCTGTCTATATCGTTACAAAACCAATGATATTACTAAAAACTATCCACTTCCCCATGCATTAACCACGATTCAGGGGCTGGCAGAGGATTGTAAACAAGCCAATTTATTTACCCATGAGGCTGAAACGCAGCTGAAGAAAAATAAAAAGAAAGCCTTGCTGACCGTCAGTAAAAATAAGCTGGATAAAACCGCTAAAAACCAACAACAAGGGCATGATCGTACAAAACATCGTTTTGTCGATCAAGAAAGTTATTTCCTCCAACCGCTTGGCATTACCGATGCCAATGCACAGATTATTCCAAGCATGGCACGTAAGTGGAAGCAGATTAACAAATTTGTTGAAATCTTTTCAGGTGCTTTAGTGCATATTCAACAGCCAGAGGCTTTAGCGCATGATGGAAAAACCAAAGATCAGACTTTAAAAATTGTCGATTTCGGTTCAGGAAAAGGCTATTTAACGTTTGCTTTATATGATTATTTGGCAAAACAACATCAAACACCATTTGTAACGGGTGTTGAGCTGAATGACAAAATGGTGAAATTTTGCCAAGAGGTTGCGCAAAAGTCCGATTTTAATCAATTGGATTTTTTCCAAGGTGATGTGAGAACGTATCATCCATCTCATTTGGATATTATGATCGCCTTACATGCGTGTGATGTTGCAACAGATTTTGCGATACATACAGGTATCCGTTTAAACGCTCAAATGATTATGTGTGCACCTTGTTGCCATAAAGAATTACGCCCACAATTGAATAGTCCACAAGTGTTACAACCGATGTTGCAATTCGGTATTCATGCAGGACAACAAGCTGAAATGCTGACAGATACCATGCGAGCTCTGTTGCTGAAAGCGTATGGTTATGAAACCAAAGTCTTTGAATTTGTGGCATTGGAACATACCAGTAAAAACAAAATGATTTTGGCAACCAAGCGTAAAGATTTCACTGCACCTGATCAAACAGTCTTAGATCAAATTCGTGCTTTAAAAGAGATGTATGGGATTCAAAAGCAATCCTTAGAATTATTATTGAATGATCAGTGGGACCAGCAAGACATTGGCGCTAAGTGCTAGCGCGTTGTGAGGAGAGAAAGCAGGTTTAACTGCTTTCTCTCTTGGTACTATTTAGATAAATTATTTTATTGCTGATTCATTTCATCAAGCTCAGCTTCGCTTGTGCCCGTGGTTTTTCGAGAAATGGTATCTGGAAAATATTGCGGATCATCCATTTCTGGAATCAATTGCTCACCCATTTTATGAATCAAGATACTGGTTTTTAATGTTTCTGTTGGGGCTTTAATCAGTAGTTCTGTCAGAAAGTCTGTTGCTTTAGCTGCAAATTGCGCATCACTTTCTTTGCTACCACGTTCAGGCATTTGAACATTGTCTAAATTAAGCACAGGGACTTTACAGGTTAACGGTACTTGAAAACTTTGACTATTTTCAATAATTTTACCATCCTGTTTACAGCTCTGATATGCAGCACTTTGAGCTTTCATTTGGCGTTCAAATGCTGGCGCAACAATTTTAAAATCGTTGGCATTAAATTGTTCTTTGAGTATTTCCTTCATCTTTTCAGATGCAGTGGCTTGTTTTTCGCCACTTTCATCGCGGTTTTTTTTAGCTTCAGCTTCTGAGATACCTGCAATTGCGGCACTCATTTTTAAATTAAGCTGATCTTGATTTGGGTCTTGAGAAAATAAGCCAATCATGCTTTTTGAGATAATGTTCACACGATCTAGCTCGGATGTTTTTGCATAAATACTTTGAGTCGTCAGTAAAATTGCGCTATAAATAAATACTTTAAATTTATGATTTAGAAACATAATTATTCTACAAGTTTAGTTAAGTTGGTGAAAGTGAACGCATTGTCACTGTGCATTACATTAGCATAATTGCAAGAATGAAGGATCAATTTCTCAACCATTAGGATTTAAATAATGAGCCAATTTGTCATTCAATCTGGGCCGTGGAGTCAGCTTCAACACGATGCAAAACTGATTCGAAGCATGGTTTTTATCGAAGAACAAAACATCAGTGAAGCAGATGAATGGGATGAGCAGGATGCCATTTCATTACATTTTGTTGTATATGCTCAAGATCAACCGATTGCTACAGCGCGGTTATTGGAAAATAACAGTATTGGTCGAGTTGCTGTGTTGCAACAATATCGAGGTGAGGGGATTGGTAAACTGCTTATGCAACAGATTATTCAAGTGGCAAAACAGCAAAATAGAGCATTTCTTCAATTATCCGCTCAAGTCTATGCAACGCGCTTCTATGAAAACTTAGGCTTTCAGGTACAAGGTGAAGAATATTTAGATTGTGAGATTCCACATATCGATATGGGGTTAAGTTTAAAAAATGACTGAATTGAAATAAACCAAGATTGAAATAAACCCACATTGAAATAAACCAAGAGAATCGATTTGCCCATGCTCAGTATAAAAACCCCGTTAATTCAATCTTTAGTTTTAAGCCAACTGAATCAATGTCAGGTGTGGTTAAAAATGGAAGCATTACAACCGTCGGCGTCATTTAAACAACGAGGCATTAGCCATGCCTGTCAAAAATATTTTGAGCAGGGTGCTCAGCGTTTTATCAGTTCCTCGGGTGGCAATGCAGGCTTAGCTGTTGCTTATACAGGTCGACAACTGGGTGTTCCGGTGACCGTCGTGGTTCCTGAAACCACAGCACAACGTGCGAGAGAATTAATTGCCCAGCAAGGTGCAGAGGTTATTGTACATGGCGCTTCATGGACCGAAGCCAATGCTTTAGCGCAGTCCTTATTAACACAGCATGATGTATTTATTCATCCTTTTGATCATCCATTGTTATGGGAAGGCATTATCCCGATGATTGATGAAGTCATTGCAGATGGCGTTACTCCAGATGCGGTGGTCTTATCTGTGGGTGGCGGAAGTTTACTTTCAGGTGTTGCAGCAGGATTAAAAAAACATGGTTTAGCCCATATTCCAATTTATGCGGTTGAAACCCAAGGTACAGCATCCTTACATGCTTCGATTGTGGCTCAACAACATGTTGAATTGGATCAAGTGAGTGGTATAGCAACAACACTTGCAGCAAAAAAAGTCTGTCAAAATGCATTTGAAGTGAGCCAAGCACTTGAGGTTCGTAGTTTGGTGGTTTCAGATCAAGACACTGTAGATGCCTGTTTAAAATTTATAGATGATCATCGTATTTTGGTTGAGCCAGCATGTGGTGCAACATTATCAGTGCTTTATGATCAGGCGATTCAATTTAAACCCACTGATCAGGTCTTGGTGATTGTATGTGGTGGCGCAGGGATTACCCTAGAAACACTACAAGCATTCAATGGATAGATCGGATTGAATAGACAATTAATGATCATAATCTATTGATCCTTTAGCAAGTCTTTTCGATTTAGAGGATGGTGAGATGATTCAAGTTGTACTTTTTGATTTAGATCAAACCTTACTTGATCGCACCTCCTCCCTAAAGGCTTTTTTAAATTGGCAGGTAAATTTCTTCGAGCTGGTTACGATTCAACAGAAACCACAATTTATTCAGCGTTTTATTGAGTTGGATAACAATGGTTCTGTATGGAAAGATCAGATATATGCTCAACTTATTCAAGAGTTTCAAATATCCAACTATTCGACACAAGTGCTATTAGAGAATTATATTCAAGACTTTAATAAATTTTGTCGAAGCTTTAGCGATGTTGATCTGGTTATTTATAGCTTGTTTAAGGCAAATTTTTCTCTTGGATTAATCTCTAATGGAAAGACGCCTTTTCAGGAAGATAATTTTAAAGCCTTAGGTTTAAGTGAGTATTTTTCGAGTGTGATTGTTTCAGAAGCTGTTGGACTGCGAAAGCCTCATCCAGAAATTTTCCAATTGGCATGTCAGCAGCTCGGTGTTATTCCTCAGCACTGCGTTTTTGTTGGCGATCATGAGATAGCAGACATTCGCGGTGCAAAAGCTTTGGGCATGAAAACGATCTTATTTGATCCTCAACAAAAAGAAACATCGACACAGGCCGATCATCGTGTAAAGTCTTTTCAAGACATACTTAGTATTTTAAAAATAAAATGAAAAGATTATATAAGCACGGTAGGGTACAGTTTCAGGTTTTATTTTTATTTGGAGTAGTATCTCAATTAAGTGTATTTGCACAAGCCGAAACAGATAAACAACAACCGTTAGCCTATGAGTTGCAGGTGGAAACAAAGCCAAAAACTTATGATCCAGCGATACAGTCACGGATTCGGGGCTATCGAAAGGGTGCGACAAAAACTTTAATTCAACATTCATTTGATTGTGCAGGAAGAAAAGCTGGGATACGGGATTACTTAAGTGGAAATGGTGCATTATCTGCGCTAAAAGCGTATGCCAGAATCACTTTTAATATCGAAGAAGGGATGCCTCGTAGTGCGATTCAGAAAGAAGCTGAAAGCAATGCTATGCGAACTTACCAACTGATTTCTTATAAAGAGTTTATTTTAAATGCCGACCAACCTGTGAATTTATATGGTTTTGTATTTGGAGCGACTGATTCATCTCGGACAAAAGCACAAGTGATTGATCAATGTGTGGATGCTGTTGCTTCGTTCAGACCACAGGCTGGACACGATTATGAAATTTTAGGTAAATATCAAAATAACCAATGCCAATTTCAAGTATTTGATCTAAAAACCAATCAAGAAGTGACTGTGTCTGACAAGCTTTATGCATGCCCTGAAAAGTCATGGAAATTTTGGAAAAGGGATCAGTAAATGAAAAGAGCAATGCTTGGTATTTTTTTGATGATGGGTCTTATTGTACCCAATTTGACTTGGGCATCTTATCTGAACCATTGCCTATTAACGGTTAAAGTCTTAGAAGCGACTTCAACCATGACTATGGCAATCAATGGGCCACAAGGTGAGTTTGAAAAAAGTAAATTGACGATGTATATCAAAATATTAAAAGCTGAAAAGAATGGAAGAGCTGACAGTGGATGCCAATCACTGGTCAATCAACGCATGCGAATTACGATTGAACAGCCACCTTTGATCAGTTTAGTCAAAGGGCAAGTTGTACAAGTAGAAAGCATCACTCAGGATGCTTTTCCACAAGAAGGATATGTCACGCAATACAAGCTAAAAAACTAGTCTGTTGGGAATTTCGCTTTTAGCCTTTGTGTGCGTTACTCCAGTCTTCTATGGCTTTTTGTCCGCTTTCTAAGCCAACTTCATAGGTATATTGCAATTTGCGTTTATCTTTACATAAACGGCCTGCTAACTTTTTATTGTCAGGTGGGCAGATTTCAAAAATGCTTTGTTGAGTATTTTGGCGGATAAAATCGACAGTTTGGTTATAACGAGTACAGCGATTTTTCAGACTATCTGCAAAGCCAGTATGTTGATTAAGCAAATATTTTGCCAAGAATTGATCTGCTTTACTGCTGGCTTTAAAGTAATTTTGTGTACGCGTACGAATCACCAAGAGATTTTGAATATTTGCTTGTTGCGCTGCCCATTGAACAGGGAGGGCATCTGCGACACCGCCATCAAAATAAGGCTCTCCAAAAATTTCTACAGCCTGTCGTGTCAGATAGGGAATAGAACTAGAAGCACGTAATCCATCGATAATATTGTCTTTCCCAGCACGTAAATATTCAGGATAACCTGTACGAGCATGAGTCAACACCATATAAAAGTCAGGATTTTGACTAAATAAAGCTTGTTGATCTAGAGGATTCTCTTTCTCGACAATATCCCACATCCATTGCATATCCAGTAAATCCCCACCTTTAAAAAAGCGAGCATAACGAATAAATTCAGGTCGAAGTGAGTGGTCTAAATAGAGTTCGATATTACGACCTTGTTGTCGAGCAAGGTAATTGGCGAGGTTTGTTGAACCAGAAGACACTCCCACAAAAAGATCAAAAGGGTTAAAATTTTGTTGTAGGAAAGCGTCAAGTACACCGCAGGTAAAAGCCCCACGCATACCGCCACCTTCTACGACAAGCGCATTACGTGAATCATTGATCATAGATTGTTTAGTTTGCATGTTCTGGCTGAGCTGAGTTGTGTGGCATGTTTTTCATTTCATCATTCGACATTTGCTGCGTGTCATGTGGAGGTGCTGTATCGGTATTCTCCGTCTGAGGCGTCGCTATCTGCTTATTTTGCTGACTCGGCATATAATCTGGTTCATTGGTTACAGCCATATAGAAGAATACAAGGAATAAACAGCTAAAGATTGTTGCGAAAATTACTGCTTTAGATTTCCACAACGGTTTCTTGGGAGAGTTAACATCGTTCATAGGAAAATTCCTAAAAGAATGAAATGTGTAGCTATTTTATAACATAAAGCAGTAGTAAAGTTGGCATTGCTATAAAAGACATAAATTAAATGAGGCTTATGTATATAAACACAACATGGATTGATCAGCATATGAATACATATCAGACATAACAAACAGGCTGAGATTAAAATTGAAATCAAGCATACAAACAAGATTATTTTGAGCTTGATTTTAGGTGTTTATGGAAATGAATAATGTTGATTTATTAGAAATATATGAATATTTAAACTACATTTTTAGTGAGATTATTTATTTAATTTTTCAACAATTAATCAAAAAATCTATTTGAATTTAAGTGTTTTTAGTAATGAAATTGTTTTTTTAAATAGAAAAATTTTAGAATTAATTTATAATAGAGACAATTAAAACGAATAAATTATTAAAATGAACAGCTTAGTAAATAGCATTTATAAAATATTGGATCAGCTTGGACTAAACGCACAAAAACGAGCCTTGCATATCCAATTTAGCAATACAGACTTAAACAACCAAGTCTTCTTACAACGTATCGATGGGCAACATGGTCTAAACCAAGGTGTGTCTGTTGAATTGATTTGCCTTGCCACTTCAGCAACGATTCCGCTTAAACAATTCATTGGTAGCCAAGTGGCCATTGATCAAGTCACAGATCATGGACAACTGTTTCGTAGCACTGGGGTGATTACTGAAGCGGCACAAGGGCAAAGTGATGGCGCACTAACGTTATATAAACTCAAACTCGAAGATGCGACTTCACTGTGGCATAAGCGCCGTAACAGCCGAGTGTTTATGAATAAGTCGATTGTGCAAGTCATAGAAACGCTGTTTAAAGAATGGCAAGACAAAAGCCCACTCTTTGCATCGAGTCTAAGCCTCGATAAAAGTGGTCTTAAAAAAGATTACGATATTCGACCATTCATTATGCAGAGTAACGAAAGCGACTATGCATTTTTAAGCCGCTTGATGCGCAGTGAAGGGATCAACTGGCTGATTGATGAAGCGCAATTGATTGTGCCTAGTTCTGCGACTCAAATTCAGCCGCAAAAACTGCGTTTGGTGGATGATAACAGCGAATACAAAGCGCTAGAACGAAGAAAGATCCGCTTCCATCGTAGCAGTGCCACAGAACAACAAGACAGCATCACCAGCTTTATTGGGCAACGTAGCTTACAACCCACTGCTGTCCACGTACAACGCTGGCAAGCAGATGTGTTAGAGCAAGAAGAGGGTGCAGGCAGTGTTCAAAGCAAACACCAACATAGTCAAAACCAGAATAATGCCAGTCTCGGTTTAGAACAAGCTTGGCATATCAGCCCAGCATGGATTCAAGACCTAAATGGTGAAGATCAAGCAACTGCCTCAAATAACAATCAAATTGAAAAGATCAACCAAAACCTCAGCCATTATTACGATGCTCAATCTAAACAATTCGTTGCCAACTCCACTGTACGTGATGCGCAAGTAGGCTACTGGTTTGAGCTAAACGAACACCCAGAAATAGACCAACACAGTGGCTCAGACAAAGAGTTTCTGATCACGTCAAAGACATTCTATAACCAGAACAACTTACCCAAAGATCTGAATGAACAAATCAATCGCTTGCTCCAACAGAGCAATTGGGTCAATTCAAATGTAGACTCAAATAACCCAGAGCGCCAAGCCAATCAATTGGTACTACAACGCCGTAATATCACCACTGTTCCTGAATACCACCCACTACAACACCGTCCAAGTACCCATCCACAACGAGCCAAAGTGGTTGGGCCAAGTGGAGAAGAAATTCATGTGGATGAATGGGGACGTATTAAAGTTCGCTTCCTATTTACTCGCAATGAAGATCATAGTCATGATGGTGGTGCAGGGAGCAATGACAACGACACCGATTCCGCTTGGGTGGATGTACTGACCCCGTGGGCAGGTGAAGGCTATGGTGCACGGTTCTTACCGAGGATTGGTGAGATTGTGGTGATAGATTTCTTTGATGGCAATATTGACCGACCATTTGTGGTGGGACGTATCCATGAAGCGCAACGGAGTCCAACTAAATTTGATGACAAAGGCCAATTGCCTGATACCAAAAAATTAGCGGGGATCAAAAGTCGAGAAGTTAAAGGCAGTGGCTATGGCCAGCTTAGATTTGACGATACCACAGACCAAATCAGCAGCCAGCTACAAAGTAGTCACGGTGCGAGTCAACTTAACCTTGGTAATCTGAGTCATCCTAAAGAAACCGATACCAGTGAAGGACGAGGCCAAGGCTTTGAACTAAGAACAGACCAATGGGGAGCAGTGCGTGCAGGACAGGGTCTACTACTCAGTACCTATGCTCAAGATTCAGCTTCAGGCAATCACCTTGATGCAATAGCCGCGAAAAGTCAGTTAGAAAGCAGCCTAAATAATTCCAAAGCCTTAAGTGAAGTTGCTAAGAATCAGCAAACTGATCCACTGAATGTATTGGAAAATCTCAAGCAATTTCTTGATCAAATCGAAAAAGGTGAAAAAGACAAAGCTGATGCATTTAAACAAGCTTTGATGATTTTGGCTGCACCGAATTCAATCGCATTGGCAAGCAATGAAGACTTACATCTTTCTGCGGATAAACAAATCAGTTATACAGCAGGTGATAGTATCAACCTGAGTACGCAAAAGAATTTAGTTGCACATGCACAATCAAAGATTAGTCTTTTTGCGGCACAAGAAGGTGCAAGACTTTTTGCTGGGAAAGGTAAGGTTGAGATCCAAGCACAAGGTGATGGTGCGGATTTGATTGCACGTAAAGGTATTCAAATCATTTCGACTGAAGAGATGATTGAGCTAAAAAGTCTCAAAGAAATTATTATCACCTCTGGTGGCTCTCAATTAAAAATTAATGGTTCAGGTGTATTTGTGACCACGGCTGCTAAGTTCGAAGTGAAGGCAGGGCAACATAGTTTTATTGGTGGAGCAAAAGTCGATTATTCACTTCCATCATTCTATGAAAATATTTGTAAGCCTTGTTTGTTAGATGCTGCAAAGTTTGGAATGGCATTTGTTGATAAATAAAATGAAAAGAAAAATTGTTCCATTTAAAAATATAAAAAGCTGTATCAAAGATGATCAACATGATTTGAACATGTATTTAATCTTGGATGCAGCGCAAGTTTCAGATCAAACTTTGCACTTTATCAATACATGGCGAAATGACGCAAGGCTAGAGTTTTATTCATTATTCTCAGGCACAACGGAGGGCAATGCACCTTTTGAAGTTGCCCCTGTACTTGTTTTAATCAATGATTTAGAAATGCTCGAAGAAGAAGGGTTTAGCTTTATTCATCAAACATGGAAAGATGAACAGGCTTTAAATCTGGTATGCAGTTCATTGGATTTGACTCAGTTTGTTAAAAAGATGAAACGCTATCTCACAGTAGAA